ATTTAGACTCCGTTAGATGTCAGAATGAAAAAAAAACCTGTCTTTAGGGTCACTTTCTTTTATTTTTTATCTATCTTTTACTTTGTTTTGCAAGATTCATATGCAACTCTGTTGTACTGAAACCTCTAAGCTATTTACAAGTCTAAAAATATGAAAGAAAGAAAGGATGTCAACTCATGTTAATGATAAGAGCAACCCCTATTGAGAACAGCATGCTGGACTGGATGGGCCCCCTTTGGTCTGATCCGGCAGCCAAGCTCCTCTTATGTTCATTGGAGGACCTGGTCTTATACCAAGTCAGGCTATTGGGTCCATCTAGTTAGAACCTCTCCATTAGCAGGACGTCTACCCAAGATTTCTAGCATGTGCATATAAAATCGTAAGAAGAGCTTGCTGGATCAGACCAGTTCACCATCTAGCCCAGCATCCTGTTCTCACAGGTGCCTGTTGAGGAGAACCTGAACACAACAGCAACACTCTCCCTGATTAAATATTAAATTCACAAAAGCATCAATTTGCAGTTAGAGCTTTAAGAATGTGAGAAGAGCATGCTGGATCAGGCCAAGGGCCCACCTAGTCCCAACAGCCTGTTCCCCCAGTGGCCAACCAGATGCCCCCAATGGAAAGTGCCTAGGCAGGATCCAAGCACAAGAGCCCTCTCCCCTCCTGTGCCTTCCAGCGACTGGCATTCAGAAGCATTGCCACCTCCAATTGTGGAGCCAGAGCATAGCCGCCAAGGCTAGCAGCCATCAACAGCCTTCCCCTCCCCTCCATGAATTTGTCTAAAGCTCTTTTAAAGGATCCTGCAGGAGTGAGTTCCATAGTTTAACTCTGTAGCGCATGAAGGACTTCCTTTTATCTGTCCTGAATCTTCTGACATTCAAATTTCACCAGATGTTCATAGGTTATAGTGCTATCAGAAAGGGAGAAGAACTTTTCTCTGTTAAGATCCTGGACCACAACTTTGATCCAGAAAGGTTCTCAGAGTAAACGTGTTAGCTGGGGTGGCCACAAAACCTGGACCCACTGTTCACCTTAGACCTCCACATGACCTTAGACCCCTAACCCTCTTTTAAAGCTGTTCACGTTGGTTCCCATTGCTATACCCCATGGCAGCCAGTTCCGCTGTTTGACAATATGCTGTGTGAAGAAGGACTTCCTTTTCTCCACCCTGAATCTCCCTGCTGTCCAGCTTTGTTGGAAATCCTTTGTGAAGCTGGTGGAGCTCAAAAACCCGAGGAGAGAAAAGGGGGCCTAAACTGAGCTCTGTGCAAGGCAGTGAGTGGTAGGAAGCTGCTAACTTGGCAACTAAGCCGGAGATACAATTACTCGAGCTGAAGTAATTATGTCGACGTATCCTGCGGTAACCCTATCTCCCAACTAGGGCTTAGTGGCAGACGGGGCCAGCAGGAACGGAGCGTCGGAGAGCCTTAACGAAATGGCACATGGAGCACTCGCAGACCGTGGGATTCGGAGCTGCTCGTAGAATCATAGAATTGTAAAATTGGAAGGACCCCCAAGGACCAGCTAGTCCAGCCCCCTGCAAGGCAGGAATCACAGCTAAGGAATCCCTGGCAGGTGGCCATCCAACCTCTGTTTAAGAACCCCCAGCAAAGGATTGCCTCCCAGGGAGACTCTTCCATGGTCACTTCCTTACTGTCAGAAAGTTCTAGCTGTGTTCTACTGCTGGAGGCAGTGTGCATCTGAACACCAATTGCTAGGAATCCCAGGTGGCGAGAATGCTGCTGAGCTCAGGTCCTGCTTGGAGACTTCCCATTGGGGCATCTGGTTGGCCACTGTGAGGGCAGGATCCTAGCCTTGATGGACCACTGGGCAACTACTGGTGCTTTCAGGCAAGTGGGCATGCTCTTAACTATGGCCATGGCAAGATCTCATCTCATTGTTAATAATATTTATTTATTGCATTTACATCCTGCCTTTCCTGCAAGGAGCTCCAACATTTACACCACCCTGTCTTGGATGGATGCTGTTTGCCTTGGCTACTCAGCTGTTCCATGTTAGAGGCTGTGCCAATCAATTGGTGCTTTTCTGCCCCCACTCCCCACCTGCTTTTTCTCAGAGTAAATAAATGTGATTAACCGGCTGATTAGGATATATTTTCTGCTTGGGCCCCTCCTCCCTTTCCTCCTTCCTTAGAGAGGAGGGTTGCTGTCTGCAAATAGCTAGCTCAGAACCATCTCTCCTAATAGGGCTGTCACAACAGACCCTAGATGCATCCAACACAGCTGTGTTGCAATTTCCTAGCAGGCATGCTCTGTGGGGAATGAAGATAAGTAGCAATGCCCAGTTGTAGGGATCCCCCATTCTTTTTCTTTTTAAATGATGTATGGGATAAATAATTTTGTCAGGTCAAACTTAGGAGCGTAGGAACCTGCAAGATCACGTTATGCGCCCACTCATCCGCATCAATCGGCTGAACTGTCACTGTTGAAGGTACCATCAAATCAGACCCATTCCGCATTTTGTAAGAACTCGAATATTTTAGCGCAACTGTACCTATACACTTTGGAACTCCCCTCCTAGTGACATCAGTAGTATTTGAAATTCCCTGGGTACCAGGCACCTGTTGGGACTGCGAACGGTCCACTTGTGACCAGATGGAGCTGTCCTGTTGTTGGCTTGGTGGCTGACATCATCACCACCTGTCTCTTGTGGAGAATGTCAAGAGTCTTCACATGCGCCATGCTCCTTGCTGTTTCTCACCTCCCTCTCTCCTTTGGGGAGGAGATGTGCAAGCACTCATTCTCCCCCTTCCACTCCCTCTTAACTCCATAGCGGTGCAAGGGCGTATCTCTCTGCACTTGAACTCTTGTTTGCGAGTCACACATGCAGCCCCCTCTCCAGGGTGCACAGGAAGGAAGCCCCCCATGCTCCAACGACAAAGCTCGCCTCCCCAGGTAGCCATGTGGAGGGTCACGCAGCAGGACTCCTTTCCCTGCCAGAGTGAAGATGTGCCTGGCGTGAGAGGAGAGACAGTGGCCCAGACCTTGCCCCCCACCCCCCGTTGCCAGAGCTGCCACCAGTTTCCCAGGGGCAGCTGTGGGCGAGCCCGGTTCCTGCACATGTGGCCAGGGCATGGTTGGTTGTGGCTGCACACAGCGAGCAGCAGGAGTTTAAAGTCTGGTGGAGGTGATGCCTCCAGAGCTGGGAAGGCAAGTCAGCTGAAGATTAAGGCAAGCGCAGGCAGCAGCAGGAGGAGGTGGCGGCACACAGTTCAGAGTTGTTTCCAGGTGCATTGGAGGAATGACACCAGGAGGGGAGCTTCCCGGCCTCTGCTGCAGGTTTGGCTTGGTTCCCCCTCCCTCTGCCCCATTTAATTCTAGGCAGTGCTGGATTAAACCCTGTGGAGGCCCCTAGACAGTCGAAACCATGGGGGCTTCCCTCACACGCGTGCTCTAGTGGGGAAACATTGAACTAAGAAAGCTTGATTGCAATTTTCTTTCAATATCAACTCAATATTATATTGATCTTTTGCCTTGAAGCCCCTAAAAGTCATGGCCTACTCTACCTATTTGGTAATCCGACACTGATTTTTTTCATGTGTGTGCCACCCCACACACCCCTTCCCTTCCTCCTGGAGAAAGAGCTGCCTCTTCCCAATTCTCTGAGGCCTTCTCTCCCTCCTTCCTTTTGCCCAGCCACTCCCGGCTGGCCTGAAAACTTGGCTGGGGCTGCACGGGTGAGTGACGGGGTGGGTGGGCATGGCTTCCCCAAGGAAGCAGAGTGGGAGCCATGCGGGCACATGGGGGGACAGATCCCAGACCTGGGACCTCGCCAGTGAGGGGGCAGTGGGGGTGGGCAAGGCCAGGGAAGTGGCTGTGCAGTGGTGACAGCAAGGCAGGTGCACAGCAGTGATGCCTCTCCCTCTCCCAGAGCAAGAAAGGAAATGAAGTAAGTTTCTCGCAGACACTTCTCTCCTTCTCAGTCCCGTGAGCGGAGAAGTCTTTGCAGCTTTCCTTGTAGCTGCAGAACTGGGCAGCCCGCTTCGGACTCATTGACTCTGAAGGAAACTCTGCCGAGTTTCAGCTGGGTTGGCTGAGTGTGCGCAGAATGGCTTGTCAGCCGCATCCTTCCTTCCAGCTTTGTGTGTGTGGCCCCGTTCCCCCAATCCACACTTGGCTGCATGAGGTGGACCTGGGTGCAGATGACGCGGGTGAGAAGCATTTCACAAAGCAGCTCAGAGGCTTTTGTCAGCACGTCAGGTGTCATCTTTGTCTGTTTTAGCCTTGGGTTAGGCTCAGTAGTTGTCCCATTTGTGTATTTGGATTTGTGGGTGGCAAGTGATGAAAATTCCATCTTGTATGGGTATGTGAAAAATAAAACATATTTCCCCCCCTCATCACCATCATCGTCCATAGTTAATACTATTTCCACTTTTGCTGTGTGTGTTTTTCCTTCTTTCATACCCGGACAAGTGAATTGTTGCAAGAGCAAGCTACAGTCAAGCAATGTAGCTGAGATAATAGAATCGTGGAATTGTAGCGTTGGAAGGGACCCTGAGGGTCATCTAGTGAACATGCTAGTGAATAGATATTCTGCTGTGGCTACTGTAAGCCAGGTTTAAGGTGCGATTTGGTTTATACAGCTTGAGTTTCTAACATCTAACTGGACATCAGGGAGACGACTTCACTTTTTTAAAATGGCCTAAAAACATCAATGCAAGTTTAAATCTGTTTTTAGTCTCCTGTTATTTGGAAATCGTAATTCTTTTTGGTAACTTTTATTGTTTTATCTGTTTTGCAAACTGCTTTGAGGTTGTTGTTTTTACAACTGGCATGCAGAGATAGACTGCCTCTGGGCATAGGGGTACCATTCTCAGCTATCACAATTCCATGGTGCACACAAGAAAGCTTTGGTTATTAAGCCCAGTGTGCTGCTGAGCCTAGGTCAGGGGGAAAGCCAGGATCACACCTATTAACTAGCACCACATGGGGGGGCCGTGAAATGCATCTCTTAATCCTCTCCTGTTCTTTTCCTAGCTTCCCCAGCGCCCTCAGATCCATCAGCCATTCTGCAACGCCGCTGGCAAGCCTTGGCTCAGCAAACAGTCCATCAGGAGAGTGAGTTATCCTCACCCTGTGCCCTCCTTGCCATTATGTCTGGAAATATTAACACCACAAATCATGCCGCCACGTGGCTTTTTTTGTACTTAGTGTATAAGCCCTTTCTGACGTTCCCAAGAGAGAGAAAGGCAATCTTCTTCCTTCACAAGAGATCCTGCCCTGTGGCTTAGGGGTGGAGTCAGGCCCAGAGTTAGTCCAAATCAGAGCAGACTGATTGAAAACAAAGGACATGACCAACTTCAATCTGTTGATTCCAGTGGGTCTACTTTGAGCATTTCTTAGCTGGTTGTCAACCTTTAGGCTGCTTGGCTAGCTCTGAGATGCAGAGAGTTCCCCATACAGAAGACAGAGGTGTTTGTTTGGGGTGGGGGATTAAAGGGGGGAGAATCTGACAATTTTGACTTTTCTTCATTTTGCATTTTTCTGTTTTCCATATTTCCTTATCATTTAAAAAAAAAATCCTCATGAAAATTCACCAGCGATTTAGTGCAAATGTTTCTTAACAGATCCATGTTTATGTGCCATTTTGCCTTAAATACACCTCATTGCAAACCAATTTCCCCCTAACATAATGTGATTTTTGCATGCTATTTTCCAACAAATATATACATTTTAATGCACCACAGTATGTGGATCTTGCATGTTTCTTGACTGGAGAAATGCATTGCAAAATTCAGAGGTGAGTGTAGTTCTGAAGGAAGGCTGGGCTTGGATTTGCAAATTCTTTCCTAAAGCACCTTTTAAGACTTCTGGAAAGAGAATTGCAGATGAATGAAGCACCAGCAAAAGCCAGTGTGGCAAAAGAAACTGTAGGTGCCTGAGTTTTCCTCCATCCTTCTGAGCTTGAACCTTGAACTTTTTTTGAAAGCAGAATACTCTTAAGCTTTGGTTCTATTTGCTGGGCCTGAAATGAGACAATGGTTTCCGATTTTCACATAGGGATTAATTAATTCAGCCACCCAGAGATGATTCTTTTCATCTCCAAATTGGTGGTGTGGTAAATGGGCGCTGGGCTTAGTTTTCATGATTTTAAGCTCTAATTGAATTGTCACAGAGGGTACACTTTTTGCATTTTGTTGCCCTCTAACCACACCTTCCACAAACCCTATGTACCAATAAACTTGGGCTAACCCTCCCGCATCCAGCAAACTGGTTGATGAAAACTATTGCTGTCATAAAGTCAGTCATAAGCTCCTGCAATAACTATTTTGTAGTCCAAACAATAATGCAAATTTCTGTTTCTATAGTTGCTAGCTAGCAGCTGATTGGTGGCCTGGATAACAGATATATTTATTTATTATTTTGACACACTCTCCCTCTTTTTCTCCCTCTCCCCCCCTTTTTTGTGTGTATGTGTTTTAAGCAAGGAGCAATAAAAACTGGAAGGGGGGGCTGAGATTCCTGCACTTCAGGGGGTTGGACTAGATGACCCTTGGGGTCCCTTCCAAATCTCATAGAGTCTATGATTCTATGAAATTATGGAAAGCTGATGGCAGTCAGTGTAGACAATACTGAGGTAGGTGAACTTGAGTTAGAGGAGTATTGAACCAGAAAATATTTGGAGAATGGAGAATATTTAAGGATTATATAAGATCATATTGTACCAATCACACCATATCAGCAGAACCTGAGTGATACTTGTAAAGACAACAAATACCGTTTGTGGAGTAGACGGGAACAATATTAAAGAATATAAAACTGTGCGGGAAAAACAACAACAGTATAAACAGCACAATGAGAATGATTGGAAGACTCATTTTGTTAGAAGTCTTTTTAAGTGTTTAATTAAGTATTAATTAGGAAGATTAATTTTTTATGTACGTAAATTTGCTTTTTCTTCTTTCTTTTTTCTGTATTTTCTTCTTTTCTTCTTTTGTTTTTTCCATTAATTTTCTTTTTCTAGTATGAGATTGTAAATTCTTTGTAAATTCTTTGTATAAGTATGTAATTTAAATTAGTAAAGATTATTAAAAAAAGAAAGAAAAGAAATTGGGAGTGTTGGTGGTCGACCTTGTCGTTCACCTCAGGCAACAAAAAGTTTTGGATCAGCTTTGCATCTGAGTTCTGAGAAGCCAACGGTACTGGTGATCAGGGACATGAAGAAAAGGGGTAACCATGGGAACAAACGATGCACAGGCTGATGTTCTGAGGTAAAACACAATTTCTTCATTTTTTGAAAAGCTATTGCACAGAAGAATTCCTCTTGAATCCTCCTCAGGAAAGGTTGTTGTTGTGTGTGTTTTGTATACTTGCAGAGCAAAGTATGCGTACATACTCCTCTCTAGGGTTCCTGAGGTAATTTAGAAATATTTCAAATAAGTGAAAAATAAAAACCAGCAAATATGGATAAATAGATAGATAGTTAAAGAAAAAATTAAGAAGGCCACAGCCTATTCAACAAAAAGGAGCATGGGAACAAGTTAAATGACCTTATATACTGAAATGTGAAAACTTCTTACTGAAGAAAAGTCCATCTAGCATCTAGCACAGTAATGTTGACAGTGAGAGGGGTATATTGCCCTTCCTTACCTGGCTGGGGATTGAAGCTCCATCCTTCGCATTAAAGACAGCTGTTCTGCCACTAAGCCACTGCCCTTCCCCTAAAAATAAAGTGAGATTCTAGTCCTCATTGCTTTAAGCAAGGGGCTGGATTGAACCTGGAAACTTCCGTACACCAAACAGATGCTCAAATTCTGAGCTAAGGTCTCTCTCCTGCCCCAGATATCTCTGATCCGATACTCCTTCTCCATTGTCTGTTAGGAAGAGCTTTGCTGTGTTCAGCCATAAACACATTAGCATGAAGCTAATGGATCAGGCCAATGGACTATCTAGGCCAGTCTCCTATGCTCACAGTGGCCACCCAGAAGCCCATTATGGGAAACCCACAAGCAGGATTTAAGCACAACAGCAACTCCCCCCGCCACATGGTTTCCAGCAACTGGTATTCAAAAGCAACCACGGAGGCAATGCATAGCCGTTGTGGCTAGTAGCCATTGATACCCCTCTCCCCCATGAATTTGTCCTATCCTCTTTTAAAGCTGTCCAAGATGGCCGCCATTACTGTCTCCTGTGGAAAGGAGTCCCATAGTTTACAATGCAGGAAGAAGGAACTTTTTATCTTGTCTCAAATCATCCGACATTCAGCTTCATATCATGTCCACAAATTCCAGTCTTATGAGGGTGGGGCGTTTTTCTCCATCCACTTTCTCCATGCCATGCATCATTTTATAACCTTTAGCCCTTGCTTTGCAGTAGGAAGGTTATATCCTAAGCAGTTCCTGCCCTCCACAGTCCCATCAGGCTTTTGCCATCTCTTTCTGGAGGACACAAAAGCCTTGGGACACGCAGGCCTCAGTTGGTTAGGCTCCAGCCCTGCCACAGCCTTGTTGCTGTGGGAACTGCAATGAGGTCGTTTAGCTGAATAATGCACACAGAACTTGTGATTATGGGTGGTGATGAGGTGACCGTAGCAGATCATAACAGCGAAAAAGAGAATGGAGACTTCCTGGGTTGGTTGGTTGGTTTGTTTTTCTCAGGTAGTTTCACTGTTGTTTTTAAAAGGCAGAACTTGCAGCTTTGCTAGACTTCTGGCAGAATTTTAGAGCTGGAAGGCACCCTGGGGAATCACAGCTAATCACTGTTGCTCAACATTTGCCAGGTTTTCACTTGTGGACAATGTTTAATTAAATATTCTTTATAAATTCCCCATTCTTTTTTATACCTTTGGCTGTCTCCTAATTGTCTCTTGTCAATTTTGCTAATTCGAGATATTCAAACAATTTTTCCTGCCATTCCTCTTTTGATGGTATCATTTCGCCTTTTCATTTTTTGGTGACCGGTATTCTCGCTGCTGTTGCAGCGTATAAGAATATTATTCTTTTTTCCTTAGGCAGGAAAAAATGGCGGAGAAGGAGATTTTAAGTAAACCCTAGGAAGAACTTTCTGATGGCAGGAGCTGTTCAACAGCAGAATGAACAACCTAGGAAGGTGGTGGACTCTCCTTCACTGGAGATTTTTAAGCAGAGGTTGGATGGCCACCTGTCAGGGATGCTTTAGCTGGGATTTCTGCATTGTATGTGGTTGAGCCAGATGATCCTTGGGTTCCTTTCCAGCTCTACAGTTCTGTGTTTCTTTCTGGTTGGCCACAGTGATAACAGGGTGCTGGACTAGATGAGCCCCCATTTGGCCTATTCTACCAGGCCTCTTCTATATTCTTAAGTGATTGCATGTCTATACACTCACGACAAATTTACCTTTGAATCGGTGCTTGATCTACCCACTTTGGGAAGATGGCTGCCTCTTGTACAAAGGACATTCAGGATCCTTCTGCCTTCCATGTGTTCTGCTGGTCTTCTCTGGTTGAACTGGCCTCTGGCTCTCATTTTGCCTGATTTCCAAGCCATTCCCAGCTTCCTCAGCAGCGAACAGAGCTCCACTCCTGTCTTCCCACGGCACTACATCTGGAAGACATTACTTCCGGGGCAAAGATGGAGGGCATGTCTCCCTCTTGGTGCCACCTCTATCCTCTAGGAGAGATTAGCACGGTAGTGAAAGGAGGACCCCCCCCTTTCCCTATATGATTTTGTGCAAGGTTGGCAGACGTCCCCGTTTCCCGGTGACAGTCCCTGGATTCACAAATCAGTCCCCATACAAAATTCATTGAAGTTGAACAGTGTCCCCAGATTCATTGAAAAAAATTTGGTAACCTTAATTTTTGTGTAAAAATGTGTGTTGAGTGGGTGGGGAGCATGGCAGCTCATAACTCACCCATTAAACAGGTGGATTGATGGATTACATTACTTCCCTTGCCCTTCAGCCCCTCGGGAGTTCTAGGGTGATTCAGAAACGCACACACACACCAGTATAAGAGATAGCAGAAGAGCATTGGCATGTTCAGCTGTGAACAAATCCCTTTGGTAATAGCCTTAAAAATACTTTTGTCACAGCCATCAGGCTACTGTAGTGAGTTTGTGTGTGCAAGAGAGAGTAAGAGAGAG